CATCGTTCTTCTTGACAATCAAGCAACCAGAGGAACTTCTCTTCTTTATCAACACCCCTGGAGATTCACCAGATCTCCTCCCACCTCTATCCATCTACGCAGCACCTAAATTTTCCCCAATTTCAGCAAAAAAATCGAAAATGCAATCACCAGAGACCATGAATCTCCAACGTCGATGAACCCTAGGAACGCCAGATCTAAATCGACGATAGATCGATCTGAAAATATTCCCTCAATGAGAGGTAACTGCAGCGAATAATTTCCAACGCGACAATGGATGGCTCCGCCGATCAGATAACATGGATTACTCCGGCGGCGGTGGGCGGAGATGTAATTTTCCGGCCACCAACAACGATATAAATTGGAAGAAAGAGATGAGAGTTTGGCATCAGAATCCAACTTTGGCGAGCAAGTTTATGCAACTATGGATGTCTCGGCGATGAACGACAACAGCAAACCATCGTTTCATCTACTTCTTCATATGGGCTCTACTACTCCGAATGGGCTTTTCTTCTCTAAATGGGTTTACTACCTTAAAGGGCTTTTACATTATGGGTTCATTTGTTTTCTTTTATAAGGGTACTAACTAGTATGGGTTGTAATTTATAAAACACTTTAAGCTTCGGCCATTTAATTTTATGCAACAAATTAACAAAAAAAAAAGAGATGAGAGTTTGTTTCACACGGCCTAATTATACGTGCGTCCACTGTCAAAAAAAAAAAAAGTCATTAAAATCTAGAATCAGTAAAATAACGCATTCAATTCCACCTAAATGCCGTTACCATTTTGTTATTTTTAGTAGCAACTTTTCACTTTTTTGCATTTCCTTAAATTAAAATCTTCTCCATTTTCATCTACCAAATTATCTCAATTTATTATCTAACTTATTCACTAAACCATATCTATTTAGTTATTTATCCATTGGTTTGTTTACTCAATTGGGAATATCCATTATAGTTCGGTTTGGCTTGGTTTGCTACATTCTTTTTTCTTTTTTCCAAGCTTGGTCTGCTACATTCAATTTTGACTTAAAAAATTTACGTCGATTACACACAATTTTTAAACGGGTCAACTAAATATTGTGATTGTATGATGATGAACAATAACGATTTGGGCCGGCCACAGTGACAACAAGAGCAACAGCAACTTATGACCAAGACAAACCAAAATTTTAGACCAGTTTGATTCAAGTACTCAACTAACCATTTGTTCTTCTTTTTTTGTTCAAATATCGGTATTTCTTTTGATTTCTTAATGCCAATGATATTTATATAATAAAAACTTCCAAAACATAAAATCTGATGAGAATGAGCAAATGCTTATGATATTATCATTGAGGTCAGATTGGATTGCATTAAAGAATTTACATAAACAAATTTCAGAAATCAGAAGTTAAAAATCTAGAAATTTTGGATAAACAATAAATAAATAAAATATAACAATCGGAATTTTGATGTAGTCATCACATGTATGATCAGGGCCGGCCCAATGTGATTATCTGCCCAAAGCAGGAAATTTTTTTTTTGCCCCAACTAACACATAAATATAAAAAAAATAACAAAAACACTAACAAAAATTCGAACTCGAGACCTTCTTCCTCTGGAAATAAGGCACTGCCGCTACACCACATGCACCTTTTATACAATTGATGCCCTAAAATTAATGATATATTTTTGGTGAAAATCAGGTGAAATTGGTGATGATTGCGGAGACGCGGCGACTGAAATTGTTGCCGCTGAAAAATCCAGCGACAACCCTCTTCTTCTCTGTTAAATACAAATCCAGCGACAACTCTCTTTTTTCCTTTGAATTTTGTGTCGCCGATGTGTGTCGCAACGACACTAAAATGAACATGCCCTGAATGGGAAAATAATCAATGGTAGTTCCACTGACCAGTGTGTGTTATGTTATACATTATGTAAAGTGATTCTATTATGTTCAAATCAAACGTAGACAAAACAACACAAAAACCACGATGAATGGAATAACGAATCATCTAAATCAAAACAAGATCCATAAAGTGTTTGTCATTGTTAGTGTGAGAATCTCTTACTAATAAAAGGAATAGTTTGAGGCTTCTAAGAGTGTCCACATCAGCTTTGTCAACTACTATCTTATAGGTTGCCACGTAATCGACTTGCATCCCTTAAACAAAAATCAGGCCACGTCATCTAAGGTTTTAGGTTTTCATGTTTTCAGTGAGATTGGCGTTTAATTTTCCCTTACCCTCTTCGATCGTAACTGCAGCAATATAGAGAGTCGAGTCGTCATCTTCAATCGTCATCTTCAAAGCTTCACTATATATTTCCAGTTCACTATATTGTTCTTAGACTTCTCCACAAGAATCAGAATTTTTTTCTTTTTTTTCAGAGGAATCAGATGTTGGAATCTAAAAGGTGGACTTTCTGTTCTATGTGGATTTGGCCGAAGAGAAGAGGATGGGAGGTGATAGAGTCATTCTTCACAAAGATCTCACGTACGTAAAAGGTGGTGAGTGACAAATCATCATAGTAACAATATTTGTGACCCGTTATCATTTACTTTTTGGTCTCATCCTCTTGATTCAAGCTCTTGCATTTTCTCCATCTTCTTTCTTTTGGTTTGTTTCAATCTCACTATGCATCGGAATTATCCCCTTCCATTTCACTGGTGAAGTCTCATAGTGATTAGTAACTCACTAGATGAAACTTGTGATAATTCCCACTTTAGCATCCTTTGAATATTTTAAGAACTCTCTTTCAATCTGCCTTTTTGTTAAAATTGTTTATCGTTGTTTCTACTAATATTATTTTATCCTCTTTATGCTCAAATGTTCAGGAGATTCAGCTTGAGGGTTTTCGATTTTATAACCTTCCAGATCTAGGGACTACGGACGCCTCTCAACACCAACAAGACTATGATAGCTGCTAGAGCTAGCTGACGCCCTATCTTCCAAAGTTTACCAGATTCATTTCCAAATTTTTGGTAAAATTGGATTCACCCATGGTGTTTTCTCACTGATGATTGCTACACTGTAAGCACTTGAACTCCACCGAATTTACCATGACTCAGCACATAAATGAATTTGTCTTTGATAAATTAAGATCTGTGGTGAGCATGACACATGCAATGTCAGGATATGCATGCCGCCGGGAGTAGCATATGATCCAGCTCTCTAAATTCTTCACTTAAGGTACATGTCTAACTTCTTCTCTTCTACTATCTTTTACTTTTTGAAATGGAAGAAAAAATATAAGGTACATGGGGATTAGCACTCACAAGATGTGCAGAGGTAAAATTAAAGGAATGGTAAAGAAAATTAAATATATGAGTTAAGTTTAGCATCAATAAGACGTTATAGTTGTCTTGTGCTATGACTAGAAAACTTTTGCTTGACTGTGATCTTTCTTTGAATATTAAGCACTTTTATGAAGAAAACAAATTCTTTAACAAGGGATTCCAGTTAATCTTCTTACACAGTAGGCTATCTCTAAATGATATTGGCTAATATGAACAACGAGGTGATACTTTCAGATGATCGACATCCGTCCCAGAGTTTGTCTTAACTTTTTGGTTTAGTCATGTATATATGTGTTAAACATAACTAATCCTTATGGTAATTTTACTTCTAAATTAAAATTAATAGTGCTATTTAGTTTTTTGGTTAAAGTGTTAAATATAAAATCACACACTTTTGTCGTATGTATAATTTAAAATATCAATAGTTAGAGATATACCGGGCGTAGCCCGGATTTTCTCCTAGTTAAATTATACAATTGTTAGTGCCATGACACGTAGTGAGTCCTCTAGAAAACGTTTTCCTATAAATTAGTTTGATGACAAAATTTTAAGGGGACAATAATTTGATGTATCCTTTTACTAAATTAACCGGAATGGATAAACTAAAATAAAAGATGGGAGGAGGAAATGGAAATGTTTTGTTTGTTCATTGAACTTGACCACTTTGTTGTTGCGTGAAAATGACCACAACATCTAATAAAAGTCCTTTTATCTTTTATCTTTAGCCGTTACATAATGATGATAACACTTCGAGATAATGGATGGGATTGGTAGACGAAACATGTGAAAATGGAATAAGAGGGGTGATTGGTAAAGATTTTGGGACTATAAAAATTATAAAAGTCTTTAAAGTCATTATTTTTCCAATCACATTTTATTGGCTTTAGTTAATTTAAAAGTTTCTAAAGCCAATTCTTTTTTTTTTACTCTTTTGATTCAGTTTTTTTCTAAAGTTACGTATTCTTGACTTTTAAAATAAAAATAATAAAAACCTATAGTTTTTTTTAATTTCTTCTTCCCCATGAGTATAAAAACTCTCATAAAATTCTCTACATAATTAATTTCAAGAAAATTTCAGTTGATTTATAATGGAAATTTTTTTCTTATTTTATTAAGATCAATTTCTCCATATTTTCGATAGTTATTTAAAATCATAATTTCTACAGTCACATGTTTTACCAATCGGTTATATAATTTTTTAAAGTCACAGTCTTAACAGCAAAAGTCTCTACAGCCAAAGTCTTTACAGTGAAAGTCTTTAAAGCCAAAAGTAACAGTCGTTACCAATCGGCCCCAAGATTTAAGAAGAGATATCTAAAATGGAGTAATAAATTGTTGTCCATAAAATGTGGAGAAATTATTGTTCTATTTTTTGAAGTTTTTTTTTATATCCGCATTATTACAAAAATAAATCAGTGAATATTACTATAGTTAACAAAATAATAACATGTTTTAAGTTTTTACACACATATTAATCTATAAATAGACGGTTTCATTTATTTAAAGTTTTTTGACTAAGAAAGACAACATAGGAAATTACACAAATTTTACATAGAAAATATCAAAATATACAAAATATAGTACTATTTTTATGAAAACAATTTTTTTCTTTTTTTTTGGAACATATTTATGGAATGAAGAGTAATAAGTTTTTTACTATAGACGAAAAAGATTCATTTTCCGGAGTATAAATAAGTGGTAAAGCTGTGGTCATTGTCAAATTAAGCCTCTCACTAATTAGAAGCTCCAAAAGCTTTTTCCTTCTTCTCTTTTTTTCTTACGGATTTCTCTGACCGGAGCGATGGAAATTGACGGTGGAGGAGATCGTATCTCCGGTGAACGACCAATCATTATGGTCACCAACGACGACGGAATAGACGCACCTGGCTTGCGTTCTCTCGTTCGCGTCCTCGTCTCCACTAACCTCTACGATGTTCGCGTCTGCGCTCCTGATTCGTACGTTTACTCTAAAATTCTCTACAAAATGTTGCTTAGTCGCCTTTGTTATACGATCGAATCGCTCTTATATGTAAATTATGATCTTGTATGAATTGAATTTCTCTAGATAGCGATTTCGAGTTCGTGGTTTAGAAATCTGCAAATTGTTTTACATTAGGATTTCGAATTGCCTTTTTTTGCTGTAACGTATGTTTACGGAGAGATTTAAGTGCTATTTTTTCGATGAGAATTTGTCTTGTGTTGATGTGTTTTAGCTCAGTTTATTCAAATTGTACATCAGATTCTTACACTTTTATCTTGTTTTTGTTTTGCGTTGTGGAGGTTTATTATGTGTAACTCTTACTTGTTTTATGACATTTTTCAGGGAGAAATCTGCTGTTAGTCACAGTATAATATGGAATAGACCACTCACTGCAAAACGAGTAGATATTGATGGAGCTACTGCTTATGCTGTTGATGGTTTGTTTCTATTGTTAATCATATGGTTTTGAATGATATGATATTGATTGGTTGTTTGTTACATTTGTTGGCTCTTGTCTTTTATCCTCTGGATAACTCCGTTCTGTATGCTCTGAAGGAACACCTGCGGATTGCACTGGTTTGGGCTTATCGGAAGCACTCTTTCCTTCTCGTCCTGACCTGGTAAACCATATTATGCTGCAAATTATTTGAGTGTCACTGTTAAAGCCTTTTGATGTAAAGTGATTTAAATGATGTGCCAATAAAGCTTTCGATTTGTGTTTGACAACAGAAACTTCTCCTTAATTTATAGGAAACATCTAAGATTTGTTGGTCAATGTAGGGTGTTTTTTCCTTCTATTGTCATTTCTGGAGATTGTGATGTATGCTTGTTTTCTTCATGCAGGTTCTTAGTGGTATAAACGTGGGTAGCAACTGCGGATATCACATGTATGTGAACATTTCCTCCTCTGTTTCCCATTGTTCTGGTTTCCTATTTGCTTACTATGTTATGTTTTGTACTGATTATTAGGGTGCAACTGTTATTTGTCCGTTTGAAAATTTGCATTTAAGCTCCATAAAACTACCAAGATGGCTGAAACTTCTTTTAGGATTAGAACAAGATTTTGAGAATATAGAAGGAGAAACTCTAGTTACAATTTTTCACTAGAAACCAGACTTCTTCTCTAGCCAATTCAAATTGTTATACACCATGTTATGCTTCTACGGTTCCTATATGACTTTATCAAACTAGCACTTACCTGGTTGTTAATTCCATCACAGCGTCTATTCTGGAACTGTTGCTGGCGCTCGTGAAGCCTTCCTTTATGATGTGCCTTCTGCCTCTATATCATATGATTTTGATTGGTAAGAGTATAAGAAACTAATGTTTTACTCGCAGAGCAGAGATTCTGCTTCTTACTTGAGAGTTTTCATAACATGTTTGTTGTTTCTTCTCTGTTTGTATCGTGCTCCTAACTTTTTCTTTAGCCTTCATACAATTTTATTGATATTATCTTCTCTTTTGCCACTAATGACTTCTATTTTATTCATCCTTAATCTTTAGGAAACGTGGAGAGATGAATGCTAATGATTTTGTCCTTTCTGCCCAAGCTTGCTTGCCTATTATAAACGGCATACTCAGTGCGATCAAGAACAAAACTCACCCTATGCAATGCTTTCTGAATATCGATTTACCGACTGACATTGCTAACCATAAGGTAAGTCTCGTCGCAGCTTTCAACCATATTTTCTTATGCCTACAACTAACTGTACCTCTGAGTTTTATATGTCTTAACTCTTCTTTCCAAATGAAAGGGATACAAACTAACTAGACAAGGTAAAAGCATGGGTAAAATGGGATGGAGACAAGTGGAAGAGAAAGCACAAGGGCCAAAGATGTTATCAACAATGACAATGGATACAGAGTCAGGAGTAGTCTCGTCAGACAACGACACATCTGCTCATTCGAAAAAAGATAGCCGTTTATTCAAAAGAGAGGTATCATTAATGATTTGTCACTATTCTTTCCAATCTTACTTGCTTTTGTATTCATGAAATTGTGTCCCTTCTTACTCTTTTCGTTGTTAGGTAAGGGGAAGCTTTAATGAAGAAGGGACTGATTCTCACTACCTAAAAGAAGGATTTGTAAGCATATCACCATATTTGTCTATCAACTCATCTCCACACTTTATCAAAACTTCAAAAAGAAACAAACACTCTTTTAAACTACTGCAGATTACGGTGACGCCGCTTGGAGCTCTCTCTCAGACTGATGTGGATTGCCAAAACTACTACAAAGAATGGCTTCCCAAGATTACAAACCAGTCATGTTCCTCCTCATCCCTTTGATGCTACAACATGAGAGGAAAAAAAACTCTATTAAGATTTAAGAACTTACCCATTGTAGACCACAATTAGTGGTAAACCTATTATTATATCAGTATCGGTTGTTTAGTTTTCTATAGTCTTGACTTGTTATGGTTATGAGCAGCAGAATCTCTGTTGCTGCAAGCGCATTATTATCCTCAGTTAAATCTTTGATATCGAGACGCCGACACATGTTGGAATATCAAGGAAACAATTTCTATCTTCCCTACTAATAACATATGATTCAAAAATGACTTTGGTATTAAAACATTCCCTATTAACAACTTAAGATTCAAAAATGACTTAGGTATTAAAACATTCCTATCTTCATCGGGAAACAATTTCAGAACTTTCTATTATCCACTTACATGTCTTTAGCAGGTAACAAATTAGGGAGCAAAATTATTCTTTCTTCAAAACTAAGGAACACAATTAATTAACCAATATTCAACCACTTACATGTCAGTTTTGTTATGAATGATGATAGTTTAGTTTCATTTGTTTTATTAAGAGGTACGTACTAGGTCTTTCACGGCTATAATCCCCGACCGAGGGTAGAGCATGGAAATTAGTCGTCCATCCAATTTGTAATGACTGATTGATATATCATAAAAAAAGGCTAGAAAAAAAAAAGAAAACTAGGACCACTTATATTGTCAAAGTCTCGATTTTACCGTTAGATTATGTAGGTATTTGAATACTTACCGAATCTTGAAGAAAAAATCAAACATTTATTTCTAGATTCGGTAAGTATTGGAACAATATTTAACCCAAAATAGTATCCAGGAAGTATTTCCAATATTAACACTTTTGGTGTCTCTCCTTCATTGGAAAAAAAAAACATATGTAGTATCTTCAAAATCCATCATATATAATCCTAATCGGGTAAAACTACTCATCCCTTTTCACTTTTTTTTTTTTTCTTTCTTTTCTCTCTTATTGATTACACAGTCTCAATTTCTTGGATAAGAAGGGATCAGTCAATTTGTAATTTGTGCGTTTTAGAATTTAGTTACCGTAATAAACAAAGTTCAAGCGCTGGCGGCAGGACCTGAGATTGCAATAACATCATCATGTGTGCAAGTTGGAGATTAGTACTCATCTTCTTGCATAATCCTTGTTTTATACTTCAAGTTATGACCTATATATTTATTATTTATTCATCCGATTCGAATATTAAGTTTGCTCCCGTAAATTAGAAGGAAGAGTATATAATGTGTCACGTGATAATTATTTTTCATCTTTACGTTTCTCATATGGTTCTCATTTGACGACTTTCCAAGTCGGACTATATGTGTTTTAAATTATTAATCATATATAGAGAAGCTCCTACAAAACACAAGACATATAGGTGTCTGCATTAATGCATATAAATGTAAATGTATTGTTGTCGTCTACTTCAATAACAACTCCATCAATTTCTTTCAATCTAATTAATTAGATTTTGACTCCATCAATGAGCACACCAATACTTGCCTTAGTTTTTCTCATACAATATTGTGTTATCACTTTTGGTCTCCATTTCCACCCACTTGATCCCTTAACTCCCCAAGAAATCAACAAAACAAGCTTCATCGTCAAGAAATCTCATCTGGGCAATCTCAAAGATCTCACATTTCACTACCTCGACCTCGAAGAACCAAACAAGAGTCACGTCCTCCAATGGCTATCGCCAATTCCCTCCAAGAAACCACCACCGCCACGTCGTCGCTCACTCGTTGTAGTTCGAGCCGGTGGTCAAACTCACGAGCTCATCATCGACCTAACCACTAGCAAGATCGTATCCTCCCGGATCTACACCGGCTATGGCTTCCCTTCATTCACATTCATAGAGCTTTTCAGAGCTAGCAAACTTCCTCTAACTTACCCCTCCTTCAAGAAATCGATTCTTGATCGAGCCCTAAACATCTCCGAGGTTTCTTGCATCCCTTTCACCGTTGGTTGGTACGGAGAAACCACCACGAGACGTGAAGTCAAAGCTTCTTGCTTTTACAGAGACGGATCGGTCAACGTCTTCACAAGACCCATCGAAGGAATCACCATAACTATAGATGTTGACTCAATGCAAGTCATCAAGTACTCTGACAGATTCCGAAAGCCTCTCCCTGATAAAGAAGGTAACGACTTTCGAACCAAACACAAACCCTTCCCATTCTCTTGCAACGTTTCCGACACAGGCTTCAAGATACTCGGCAATAGAGTCAAGTGGGCTAACTGGAAATTCCATGTCGGATTCAGTGCAAGAGCGGGTATAACCATATCGACGGCTTCGGTTCTTGACCCGAGAACCAAAAGGTTTCGACGAGTGATGTACAGAGGACACGTGTCAGAGACTTTTGTTCCGTACATGGACCCAACCTACGAATGGTACTACCGTACGTTCATGGACATCGGAGAGTTCGGTTTCGGGAGATCCGCCGTGAATCTGCAGCCACTCATTGACTGCCCGCAAAACGCTGCGTTTTTAGATGGACACGTGGCCGGACCAGATGGGACAGCTCAGAGAATGACCAATGTGATGTGTGTCTTCGAGAAAAACGGTTACGGTGCTTCTTTTAGACACACGGAGATTAATGTTCCAGGACAAGTGGTAAACTTACAAAATCCAGATTAATAAATTACTTGTTTTTGTATTTAAGAACTTTGATTAGTTATTTTAATTAATTTTTGCAGATAACAAGTGGGGAAGCTGATATAAGTTTAGTGGTTAGAATGGTGGCCACACTTGGAAACTATGATTACATAGTGGATTGGGAATTTAAAAAGAATGGAGCCATCAGAGTTGGGGTACTTTTTACTTCATGTTTTCTTTAATATAGTATTTAACTTTTTGGATTGATACAATTATATTGAAATCCAGACCAACCTGGCCAGTTTTGACCTGTATACAATTATATTAAGCAAACTAATGACCCGTCAGATAGTGAGTCAAATGATAAATCTTTTTAGTTTGGTTATAATGTTTGAATTCAGTATAGAAAAAAATCTGTTTTTTGTGCCCATAAATTTCTCTTTTATCTAGACTTGATTTTGCTAGTTAATTTATATTATTTGATTAATTATACGTTTTCTATTCGAGTTTGGTCTTCTTATATTATAGTTTTTCAAGTAAACTTGGTTTGATTTTGGTTTGAGAATTTTAAAAGAAAAGGAGCCATTGGGGTATTTAACGTGTAGTTTATGTATTTGCATGGTATATCAATTTAATAACTTGAATACGTTATTATATAGGTGGATTTGACTGGAGTTTTGGAAGTAAAAGCAACGTCGTACACTTCAAATGATCAAATAACGGAGAACGTTTACGGGACACTGGTGGCGAAGAACACTATCGCCGTTAACCACGACCATTACCTGACGTATTACTTGGACCTCGACGTTGACGGTAACGCCAATTCCTTGGTGAAAGCCAAACTCAAAAGGGTAAGAGTAACGGACGTTAACAAAATGTCTTCTCCGAGAAAGAGTTACTGGACGGTCGTTAAAGAGACGGCGAAAACGGAAGCTGATGGTAGAGTTCGACTCGGCTCAGAGCCGGTTGAGCTGTTAATAGTTAACCCTAAAAAGAAGACAAAGATAGGAAATATGGTTGGTTACCGGCTGATACCGGAACATTTACCAGTCACTTCGCTTTTAACCGACGATGATTACCCGGAGATAAGAGCCGGTTACACGAAATATCCGGTTTGGATTACTGCTTATAACCGGTCAGAGAGATGGGCCGGTGGTTTTTATAGCGATAGGAGCCGTGGCGATGACGGTTTAGCTGTATGGAGTAGCAGGTACAGTTTAACGTTTTAGTTTATTATGGTAAATAATTTTTTTTTGGTTTATAAAGGAAATTTTTTATGGTTTGTCTTATGGGGGACAGGAACAGAGAGATAGAGAACAAAGACATAGTGATGTGGTACAACGTTGGGTTTCATCACATTCCATATCAAGAGGATTTTCCGGTTATGCCCACTCTTCACGGTGGATTTACTCTTCGACCTTCAAATTTTTTCGATAATGATCCTTTGATTGGGTAAATACGGCCTCAGACAAACAAACTTATGGTCTATGTATTGATTGACTTATGTTACGTCAATTTGATTTAACATATGATCATCTAAAAAAAAAATTAGCCTTGTGACTAAGTTATTAATTTGATTTTGATTCTTATGTCTTATATGGTTTAGTTTATTAGCTTTGATGTTTTTTTTTGTTCAATACTTTGTGAAACACTTATTTCTCAATTTTCAAGTTGGTACACATGGAAAAATCCTCTCTTTGAAACAGTTATTAAACATCAATTCAATTTAATGGTTTTAATTTGGTATGATTCGATATCTCCCAATTCAATCGAATATTTAGGAGGGGTTATTGGTTCATGGATTTATAAGGAATTAGAAATCCAAACAAAAATCATTTGTTATTCAATCATTGATTTTAAAATCCTAATTAAAATCATGTGTTATTGGTTCTATGAATTATAAATATTAGTTAAAATCCTTTGTTATTCGTTTAGTCATTTGTTTTTAGATTTGAGAATCCAAATTATGTTTTAAATGGATTTGAATGGAATTGAAAGAGAAAAATAGAAGGATTCAAATCCATGGGTAAACACATGTTATTTCAAAATCCATATATCTTGATTTCATAATTAATAGAAATTTTCAAATTCTATATGGATTTACAAATTAATAAACCAATAACACCCCCTTATATTGGTTTTGGTACGATTCAATATCTCCCGATTCAGGTTAATTCCGGTTTGGTTTTTCTAATCCGGTATTTTGCCGAGTAGAAAGCTATCTATTTTTCCAAGTATCTAGTTTCCTAAATAACTCATGAAATGATTTGTTGATATCACACACACACATATATATATATATATATATATATATATATATATATATATATATATATATGTTGTGGTAAGTAATCGAACATATGTTATGTATTTGTTTCTTTGACTTTTTTCCCATTATTTCACCGTTTCTGGGAGTCTTTATATACTCACTGGCGTAATATATGGAAGGTTTTTTTTCCTTGTCGACTCTTGTATTTTAATCTTGAATTCTATCAAATATATATATATATATATATATATATATAGATATCGAGTATTAAAAATACTATAAATTATCTATTCACATAGACGACACTAGAAATATCTCATTAACCGATATACTAAAAACATTAACTCTACTTTGATTTTCTGGATTTGATGAATATCCTAAAGGATTGAAGAAGACTTCAAAAGTTTGACATATCACGACATCAATTTCACATATTTGATGCAAATCACAATTGAAGTCATTCGCTATATAAACATATATATACTCCCTCTGTTCCTTCAAGTTTGATGTTCTAGTTTTGGGTTTGTTCCACAAAGATTGTTTTTCAATTTTTTTTTTTTAATTTTAGTTAATTGATATTAATAAATTGTACATTTCAAAACGTAATGATTAACTGGTTAAGATTATTATTGGTACATAGTTTATTAAAAAATGTTTAATAAAAATAAATAATTGAACAATGATTGGTTTCTAAGATATGTGAAATCTCTAGAAAATCAGTCTTCTAGGAACAAAGGGAGTACATAACTGATTACTAATCCTAAAAAAAATTATATAACTAATTCTATATATATACTCTATTTTCTTAAAAAAAAACTTTTAAATAACATTTAACTATAATAAACTTTCAATTTACTTTTTCTTATGTTTAATATTATCGTGAAAATAGAAAACTTGCACATACTATAGTACGGGTCCTAATGAAACTTTTTTTTTTTTTTTTTGTTTTTTTTGGACAAAAGTCCTAATGAAACTATACTTTGTTTTTTTTACGTGAAAATCATGGTTTTGACTTTTGAGTAAGTTAAATTCGCTTATTTTCCGGAAATCCGGTTCAACCGACGTAACCGAAGCCATGCAAAATATTAGAAAGACCGGATAATGGGCTTTATAGCCCAGTGAACTTAACCAATGACTCTAGACGAACAAGAGTTTTTTTTTCTGAACTCTGTTAACTTTCCGTTTGCGTCTTCTTTCCATTCTCTGATTTCCTTACATATCTCTTCTGTCTTCTACAAAGACCAGATCTCTCATCTGTGTTCTGTTGTTTTATCTCAACCAAAGCCCACACGTCACGTTACAAAAACAAGTTATTTTATATAAAAAAAACACTGATAAAATCGAAAAATCAATCCTTTTTTTGTTTCCAAGCAATCTATTTATCTATTACCCATCTCGAATTCGACCAAACCCATGTTCTAATATCCTTGGAAACATTGGAATCTATGTTAAAAATCCCTTCTTTATTCCGTTGAAGATATATAGTTATTTAGTAGTTTGTGACGCAATTAGGTTTACACACAGACATGGGATCGGCTGCGGTTGCGAGTTCTTCTTCTGATGTTGCGATCTCAGGCAAGTTTCTTCTTTTTTATTTTAGGTTTTCAATTTTGATCAATTGTTTCATTAGATTTTATCTCAATTCGTTTTCGATTAAGGATAAAAATTACGAATTGGATTATGGTTTCGAGATCTGAATCATGGCGTTTGATTTGTTTAGTGTAGAATCAATAAGGATTTTGAATAGATTTATACTTTTTTTTTGTAGATTAGTGATCTTGGATTAGTCATCAATCTAATGGCTCAGGTTGATGAAGGAGAAAGGCTTAACCTTTTCTCTGAATTGTAGATAATCTATAAGAGATTCACATTGTAGGGATTAATGTAGTCTGTGTTGAACTTGCAGCTCTGCGTGAGAAGCATGAGAAGGAAGTAGAGAATCTAACATTGACGACACAACCTTTGAATACATTGAAGTTGTTTGTTGAGGCTACTATTCAGTACATCAAGCGATCGATATCGTATCTTGTGGCTCATGGAGGTTGGTTTATACTTATAACAACTTTGTTAGTGGCATCTGGTGGTTTGCTTGTCACTGTTGATGGACCTCATGGAAAGGTATAACTCAGTTTCGATTTCTTCACTCAAATGTAGACTTTCCCGGACGCCAAGAAGAAGGGTCTTCTAACATATGTGTATTTATTGTTACAGCATGTGGAAGAAGTATTAGAGTATGTCCGATATGGCTTATGGTGGATAGCACTCGGTGTCGCATCTTCTATTGGTCTTGGTTAGTCACTCAAAGAGCGTTATTTTTTCGCATTTAGAAGCAATAAACATTATTCTTTTTACTTTTATCTTTTCCTGTAGGATCTGGTCTGCACACTTTCGTGCTCTATTTGGGTCCACACATTGCTTTGTTCACTCTAAAAGCAACGCTATGTGGCCGGGTTGATCTAAAATCTGCACCATATGATACAATACAGTTGAAAAGGGTTCCCTCATGGCTTGATAAATCTTGTTCGGAATTCGGTCCCCCTTTAATGATATCAGCTGCTGGATCGCGTGTGCCCCTGACCAGCATATTGCCACAAGTCCAATTGGAGGCCATCTTATGGGGTATTGGGACGGCTCTTGGGGAGCTTCCTCCATATTTCATCTCAAGGGCAGGTTTGTATATTGACTCTCTCTATATATTTCTCTTTGATTTGCGGATTCGTCCATGCGTGTGAATAGGTTTCGGTTGTTTATTGTGTTTTGGCCTTTTTTTCTTTTTCCAGCTAGTATATCTGGGAGCACAGTGGATGGAATGGAAGAATTAGATGGTTCCTCATCTGAGGATAGCGGATTTATGGCGACCTACCTGAACCGGATTAAGCGTTGGTTATTAACCCATTCACAGCACTTGAATTTCTTCACTGTCTTGGTTCTTGCTTCGGTTAGTATGCAAACTCCAACTTACTTTACCTTCTGCAGTAGCAATTGATTATGACCATATTTACGTGTCATATAATATCTTGTGCTTTCTAGTATTCAGATTAGGATTTTTACCATTACTCACTGCTTCTATTTGATTGCAGGTTCCAAATCCTTTGTTTGACCTTGCTGGAATAATGTGTGGACAATTTGGAATTCCTTTTTGGGAATTCTTCCTGGCGACTTTAATCGGGAAGGCAATCATCAAAACTCACATACAGGTTCGGAACCTCGTGTCTCATAGATACCATTTTTAACATCCAAATGGTTTTTAACTTTGTTTCTTATGTGCTTTTTCTTAATGAAGACGATATTTATCATCTGCGTTTGTAATAACCAACTGCTCGACTGGATGGAGAACGAGCTGATCTGGATACTTAGCCATGTCCCAGGTTTGGCTTCTATGTTACCTGGACTCACAGCCAAACTCCACGCCATGAAAGAAAAGTATATTGATGCACCATCTCCTGTTCCATCTCACATCAAGGTAAACAACCTTTCGCTATTCCGCTGCATTCTTTATAAACTTTACGCATTTCCACTTCATAACTATGTAATTCAATCTTTTACAAAATATCAACTGAAATTTGCGTTTATTTTGGTATTGGTTAGGTGAAAAAATGGGATTTTTCGTTTGCATCGATCTGGAACGGGATAGTATGGCTCATGCTCCTCAACTTCTTCGTCAAGATTGTGACAGCAACTGCACAGAGACACTTGAAGAAGAAGCAAGAGAAAGAATTGGCTGCTTTGACTCATTCAGATTGATTACATTCCCAACAATCTTTCTTCCTTATGCTCCAACATCAAAACAGACACTATCCAGATTTGAGAAGAAGGATCAACAAACAAAAATGTCTTGTCAGCTTCTCATCTTCTCATCTTCTCATCTTGTCACATTGATTCCGGTGGGACTGTTCTGTATAGAAAAAGAAAAAAGTTAGGAGGAATTGGGATTTATGAGATTGCAGGAGGTTTATTTTTGTTCCTGTGATTCCATATAGAAGGTTATGTGGGGAACAAGAACAGAGAACAGAAAAAAGCATTAATTGCTAATTTGGTACTGTTATTTAATTGAAACTAGTTTAAGCTATTATGTTCTATGCTTAGTTCCAGTTATTTGTTTGTTTTAATTTTTCACTGACAACAAACAAATAAAATATTTTATGGAATAAACTGTAAAATATATTTCGTTTCGTAACTCATTCCACTATTGAAAAAAAAAAATTCGAATAACATAAAATTATAGTTCTCTTATGATACAAATTGAATTTGATTAATAAAATATTACGATGGCAAAATATTTTTACATTAGAATAAAATAAAATAAATAACCTCGTTTATGATAGAGAAATTTTTAAAAGACTGAAACCACTGAACCACCCAATAAGAAACGCACTAGTGTAGAAGAATTCAATAATACATCACTTTTCTTTTTGTTTACGGAGAAAAACAGTCAAAAGGGTAACTCCGAACACGCTCGGTCCCATAGGAGTTGGCTTTTAGAAACACGATAACAAAACGAGACCATACAGATTTGTTTCTCAGTACAATATAAACAGCAGAATTAATCATCAATAAATTAATTTGTTTATTTTCAACAGCAAAATAATAGTTTAAAATCCCTATAATTTATCTTATGTACAGAAGAATTTGTTCGTCGTACTGATAGTCCAAATATCGATTTAAGAAATGTACTGTATAAAAAAGTTTTAACCAAACCAAAACCCTAGATTTAATTACTCTTTTTTTATCAAACAACAATCACCACGATACACTATATAAACGACATAAAAATCCGTACATTGTATGCAGCTGATATTTCGAATAATAGAATCCTTAATAAAAATTGAAAAGATTGAAAATTCGTGAAAATTGACAAAAGATTTCGACGACGACGAAGAAGAGAATAGGACATTGAGCATGTGCCAACCAGACAACAAAGCTTGCAGGTATTTTTGGCAAGTTTGTGGTCACCTAATACGGCTTGATCTTTTACTTATTGGTCACTACTAAATCTATTTTTTAATACTTTTTCTCTAACTGACAAAAAAAAAAAGGGAATATAAAACTTTGCACAGTCGTACTCGTACTACACACAGTTAACGTCGCACGTGAATATAAAAGGAGGAATCACCACCACTTCACAAAAAGCAGAAAACAAGTCTTTTTGAGTTTCACTCAAGACTCACCACAGATTCATTCCTACATATTTTATTTACTCTCTATCCAAACCACATGTACATACAAATGCATCACACACGCTTTTACTTCATCATCTTCACACAAAAATGGTTTCCTTTTCTTTTCTACTCAATCAAATAAAGTCTACGCTACATACCAAACAGCAACAGTTCTGCCTTTTTCTTTAGGCTACCCTTTTCTTTCTCATTCAATCAAAAACAACCCTAAACCCAATAAGGAATGAATTAAATTCTGTAAGCTAACCTTGAATTCTCTATTCCCTCCTACTAGTTTTGAGGGTTGCTGTCAGAATATAACACTAACTTAGACGGAGACAGTTCTCGAAACACCAAGACCCAAGGTCTCTTTCCTCTCTCTCACTGGTTAGTGAGTGTGAGGGGTGTTTGTTTCTCTTCTGATCCGTCAGTTTCATCTACGGATCAACACTTAATCCATTTCTTAGGGACGTCACACTATGTCCAAAGTCTTCCATTCCTCAGCGCCACGGGCTTTAGAGGAATCAACAAGCGTTGAGATAAAATCTCAAACTTCACTCACCCGCTTGTTACTTATGATCTCCAGGTTTCACTTGACCCGCATGGACTTATGGAAACCCTGGAGGAATAAGCTGCTGCTGCTGATGATGCGTCTTCCCTGCAGTCTGTGTATGCTGCAACTTGTTGTTGTTGCTCCCTCCACCTTTCATATGATCAATTGACCCGCTTGTTGCTTGTTGCTTATGATCTCCAGGTTTCGCCGGATCTGAAGTGACAGTGGTGCAGCTGGAGAGGGTAACAGATGTCGCAGCAGTTGATGATCCTGCTTGTTGTTGTTGCTGATGTCTTTGGATGTAATAGCCACTAGCAGGAGAGATAGTCATCTGTTGTTGCTGCTGCTGATGATGTTGAGATTGCATATATGGGTTTGAGAAGTAAAGCTGAGCGTGTTGCAGGTGGTGTTGTTGTTGAGACTTCGAAGTAGGGTTTGAGGTGGTGGTAGTAACGTGAGGATTTCCTAGAATAGACGAACCGTTGTTCCTTCCACCTGCAGGTGATGCCGACTGTGGGTTCTTGGATGGCTGAGATGAAGACAGAGAAGAGGAGGAAGCTAGACCATGTCCAGCTGTGTTCGCGGTTGAGGTTGATGCCAATGTTCTTGGGATTCCTCCGGCGTTTTTGGAGACAGAGGACGTAGTGGGTGATGGAGCCTGGTTAGCACTACCCGCTCCTTGCTGCATTGGAGAATTAGAAGGCAGAGTTTTAGAGTTTGCGGCAAAAGATATCTGTGATTGGTGGGGTCGACCTTGCTGTTTCTGCTGTACGTTTTTGAGTGACGATGAAGCAGATGGTGACATCATGGAAGGAGACTGAGCTTGGGCCATGGTGTTTGCTCTGGGTGAATTGTTCTTCCACTGAGGGGACTGACCCGGACTGCCACTACAGGACTGGACAAGATTCTGAGGAAATCCTGAAGTAGCATTAGGGTTATTGGATCCCACTGTAGGCGCGGTGGCAAAATTATGATCCGGGAAACCACTCCCGTTACTCATTACTGGCCCTTTTCCTCTAGCAGCAGCAACTGCATACTGTTGTTGCATCTGGAGATAATTGCTATACTGCTGCTGCTGCGGTTGATTTCGCTGCATATGTTGCTGCTGGTGAGAGGTTGGTGCAGAATTGGAACTCCAGGGCTGAGCAGAGCCAAGGTTGAGCAATCGAGCTGAGCTATCAATTATACCACCACTTGTTACCGCAGAAGCAGATGCGTCAGCCGAATCTTGTTTGCTAGAGAAAGCCCCAACACTTGCAGTTGTTGTTTTCCCATTTACCCCTGTTATCTTCCGTTCCTCTGTGGCATTAGCAGCAGCATTAGACCCAGATTTTCCATCTTCCGGACCACAATTATTCATTTTATGTTTGGCTGATTGAGCAGCCACAGCAGCTGCCATCATTTGATGATACCCTTGCCTTGCTGTTTCGGGAACGCCATGGAGTATAGCATGATTTTGAGCCATAGATGGCATGTTCAGACCTCCATTGAATGCCGCCAAGGTCATTGCGTAAGGCTGAGATTGAATAGATTCCGCACTCACCTTTGATCCCTGCTGTTCTGGTTTCCTTTCACCATGATTGTTAGAGGTGCCGACCACTCCGCCACCTGAGGGGCCCATCAAACCCATGTTGGTTGGTTGCATCGGCAGAGCAAAGTTATGGCCATATGCAACATTGGAACGAGAGGATCGTGTATCAGTAATGGATGGGCTATCTTCTCCTGCAGTTTCACTATGTTGAGTTGCGTTTTCTCTGGGATGCTGCCTGTGCTGAAAGCTCAAAGGCTGAGACTGAACTTTCTGAGTAGGAAATCCTTGTGAATTTACTGGTGGCCTTCGTTGTTGGTTCTGGAGATGCTTTTGTGCAGCCGAGGAACCAGTGGAAACGTTTGTGTTCTGGTTGCTGGGAGCATGAGTCAGTTGCCCTTGACCAGATTGCTGCTGTGGCTGAACATGTGGACTGTGGACCATTTGAGAAGAGTAGAATGAACCATTAAAGAATGGCATAGGCTGCCCAGCAACTCCTCTAAAAGCAGGTGGTGCGCCAACATGCGCCGGGACTGGAAATGGATACCCATTATTCTGCAATATAGCCAGGTACTGAGTTTCATTGGTCGGCATATTTGGGTAGCTGAAGCTCATTGTTGGAGCTGCTGATGCAGAAGCAGCCATTGCACCAGATGATGCAACTGTGTTACTGGTGTTAGGAGGCATGACAGAAGCGGCAGCAATTGCATGAGGCTGCTGGCCCAATGGGTAAATGAATGTCGGGCCATGCTACAATGAAACAAAACCAAATAAAAGACCGATCAAACCCCAGAGTCCAACTGAAAATTACTTGAAATAAAAATAACGCTAGAAGAAAACACAATAAACTTACCATGATGTTGTTACCAGCTCCAGGAGGCAGAGTTTGCTGGAGTAGTATTTGATTCCTCTGGACTGTATCTGAGCTGTTAGGTAAAGATTGAGAGCTCTTCTCAGGTACAGAGTTTGAGCTTGTGCTCAAAACGCTCCCTTGTAGCTCTGCAGAAGGTATGAGACTAAGATTGCAGACCTTGGACCCGTACAATGGGGCTGATCCTGCTGCTGCAGGCCAGAAGGAATTCATTTTCGTTAATTGCTGATGATAATTGATATTCCTAGCGATATACCAGTGAGTTGCACATCTCTTTGGCCTAGGTTGATTAAATAACAAATGCGGAGGCTGCACAAGAACAAAATCACAAGACCAAAATCAGAAAAGAAACAAAGGTAATAAAATTCAACTGAACGTAGCAATCAAAGGAATCATAATCACCTGCATAGTTGTGGATGGTAAGGAGTTGGCATCTGTCGGCACAACACCCTGTGTAGGTCCCCCCAAGTATCTGATCATAGTAAAAAACAACATTTCATTAAATCAAGAGGAAAAAAAGCAAAAAAAAAAGGTAACCAATTTATTGCTAAAATTGGCCAAGCATACCCCATTGTAGGAAACCCTCCAGGCCAGCTCGGTATTGACATATGTAGAGGCAAAGGACTAGCTTGAGCTGGAAAAATTAAGAAAGAGAGAGAGAGATCCAAATTAATAACATGCCCAAAGTAACACATTAAAAAAAAAAAACTCGAGAAAGAAAAAGAACTTACCTGCTCTATCAGAACCAGATAGTTGCTTCTGAACATGGTGCTTGTTTTCTGGGTCAGTTTTCTCAAAATCGAGTTTAAGTTCACAGTTTCTCTCTGATTTTTGTAGTTCAGCTTCTGCCTCTGATCTGGGATTTCTATCTTCAGGCTTCAAAATCAGATCTTCCTTGTGAGCTTTGCTCTCATTTTCCTGTACATATAAAATATCATAAAATATGGAATAAAAAAAGTGGGGAAAAGGTCAAAATCATTAATGGATATCTTTCCATTGTCGCATTACCAAAATAAAGAAAACAGGGACCACTCACCGATTCCATAATCGTGACTTTAGGTTTAGCTTCTGTCACCACACATTCAATATCACTATTTCTCGCCGGTGAAGATCTTCTTTGCGGTGGTGTCTGAAGATGTGACAAAATTAGAATTAAAAAATTAAAAAAATTAATATTTAAAAAATTTATTTATTTTCCAGAAAAAGAATTTGACACGCACCATCAGATTTATATCAATCTTCTCCATTTCCGGTGTAGGCAAACCTCTGGAAGTTTAATAAAAAAAAAAGAAAAAAATCAGAATTAGGCCAAAGAGATAAATTGAGAGATGAACAGATAAGGAAGAAGATTCTTACGCTTGAACTCTTAACGTGATTGTCACATCGCCATCGGATCTTATCCCACCCGGAGATTCCATTTCCAGTGATACTTTTTCTTCTTTCGAGATACCATTTTCTTTCTTCTCCGCCGCTGATTTCAAATCTAACGACGGCTTGCTTTCTCTCGCGGTCGTAGACGGTGTTGAATCCAAAACAGAGAGGTTTTCTCCGGTGAATTCTGAAGGAACTTCAACATCGCCCTTAACGGTAGTGGAAATTGTTTCTTCCTCGTATTTAACTAGTCGTGGTCTCTTCCTCTTTGGAGCTGAACCCATAGAAAAATTAATAAGAAAAAAAAAAGAGAGAACAAAGATCAGACTTAAGAGATCGTCGTAAACACGAGATGACTTACCGATCGCCGAATTCGCCGCTGGTTTACCGATCTCACCGGAATCATTCCCGGCGGCTTCTTGTTTAGATGGTCCTTGAGGCTGCGTCATCATTCCGTACAAAACCTCCGCGATCTCGATCTCGATCTCGTCTTGCACAGCCACCGGAGACTTTGGCGGAAGCGGCTTCTGTTTTGGTCCCGGAGTCTTCAAAAAAAAAAATTTAATTAGTCCAATAATCAGAAGATAGAGATGAAGAAGAGAGTGTGAGAGACTAACCATCTTCTTCCGGACTAAATCGTTGGTGAAGTGAGGACCTGGTGGTGATGGAGAAGCTAACAAAGAAGCTGGACTTGATATTTGCCGGTGAAGTTGTCCTCCGGAAGCGAAAACTCCTCCTCCTGTAGTCCAAGACTCATGCGATCTCTTAGTAGAAGCTGTAACCGTAAAATTCGAAATCAGAGGAGATTTCAAATATCAAAACCAAAAACGTATGTGGATAATGCAAATTTTCCACCTCTCTACCTGACCGGGCTTTTCTAGGAACCGACACACCGATCATTTCGTCGGCGGCTTTCCATGAAGAAACAATAGGAGATGATACCGGCGGCGGCGTCGGAGAAGGAGACGATCTGAAAACTTTAGTCTGAGGAAAACTTTTTCTCTGATGGTGATGATTTGTCAAAGCCGGTGGAATCATCTTCATCGCTCCGCCGTCGTCATATTCTTCATCGTCGTTAACACTCTCCTCGGAGGTATCGTCGTCGTCATCTCCGCCGCCGTCGTCAATATTACCTTGTATCATCATCAATCGTTCTCCTCTTCTCCTTTTACTCCGGCTATTTAATCGATCTCTCTTCCTTTCCCTCTCTCGTTCTCGATCTCGATCCTTCTTCGTACTCCCTCCGCCCCGATCTCTTAACCTCGCCGTCTCCGGAAACTCCACCGCACTTTCATCCTCTGTGATTAAATAACAACAAACACAAAATCAGAGATCAAATATTTCTCCCAGATCTGAAGAAATTTAAAGGAGAAAGGAAAAAAAACCTGGAGAGTCTCTGAAACTTCCGGCTCTATGTCGCCGTCTAGAGAAACCATTACCGGCGGCCGCCATGGGCACTCTTCGAGCTTCTCTATTTCTCTCCATCTCTCTGCCTTTTTTTTCTGTCTCTCTCGACTTGCTTCCCATTATCTTCCAATATTTGTATAAAAAGCAGTAAGCAAAATCCACGGCTCATATCTTCTGCCATAAAACCTATTAGTAATCCACACCGTTGGTCTGATAGATCCAACGGACTTGATTAGAGAAGTTTCCAGCGTGGCGAAATCTAGTCCCTCCAAATATTTAATTATTACACTCTCATCAAAAGAGATTTCTCTAATAAACTAAACCATATTTCTTGTCCTTTTTTAAAAAATAATAATTTGACACGACCGATATATTTCCTTATGAGGATTTTTTAATTATATTAATTGATGACTATAATAAAACTTGAACCTCACACAATAATCAAACACATGACGAAAATTTAATTAATTGGTATATACAAAAATCTAAATTTAATTGTTTAGATAATATTTGATTATTAAAATTTCTCTTGATTCACCAAAATTATATCGAAACTCATCAAAATTCAAATCATTTATAAAATTTTCTTTCAAAATTCACAAAAAACATCTCAAAACTCATCAAAACGCAAAAATGAAGAATGTGACGAAAAACTCAAATTTTATCGAAGCCCACACCCAAATCAAAAGAAATAATCATACAAATTTCAAGAATATTATAGTCATATTTGAGCTATAAAGTTTGATTCAAATTATTAATATCTAAAATCCAGTTCAAATAGTAATAGCAGTTTAATAATAATAAAAATATTAAATTTTCAAGATAATTATTTTTCTTTCTTTCTCTGGCGATATCCCCAAGACAACTTTTCAACAATACATTTTTCGGATCTCTATAATTTTCGGCCGGCATCGGCTTCTCTAGCGTTGGTCGACTCCTTTTTCATAATTCTAGTTTTTCAAATTTTTCTTATGTATAGATTTAGGTAATTCTTATGGCAAATCCAAAATTCCAAATCTCCATCCTTTGCTCCTTCGTAACGATGGTGTTGAAAAATCTGAGTCTGACAACTTAATTTGTTATACGGTTTCAATACTAGCACCATCTCTAACTTATGTGGTGTGTCATCACACCTAAAACTCACCAGGAGATTCGTTTTTGGTACCACTATGTATATATTTCAGAGTTATGTTTAGACACATCGGATTTACAGTTACGGTTCGCAAAAAGAAAGTTCAGCTACAAGATAATGCATGTCAATCGTAACAGAGAGAAAACAAATTTAAAGGTGGACTATAACGGATCTTATGATCGATTAGCGAGTAAGATTACTCTTAGGAAAGCATCGCCATTCTCTCTTCTACTGTATTTTTCTAGTGTATGCAACATACGTCTAGGTATATAATCAGGGCCGGCCGTGGGCTAGCCCATGAAACAAGAGTTTTAGGCGCCAAAAATATCCTATATATATTAAGAGCAGCATAGTTAAATAGTTGTTTCATGGTCTAGTGTTACGTAAGGATATTTTTCTCTTACACAAGCATCTTGGGTTCGATTCCTCACACTGTTTTTCTTTTTCTGCTTTGGGCAGCAAATATGATTGGGCCAGCTTTGTGTGTAATAATTGTGTTACAACAATTCTGTATAATGTATTTGTAATTAGTAATTACTCCTTGAAATTAATAAAAGTTTGCTTTGTCGAAAAATATATATTAATTTAGGATATCTAGAAAATATTTTATTTTTTGATATTATGATGACGGTTTTTTTTTCTTCAAAGGGTGTATTTATATAGGATAAAAGTTACAAGGAAAATCCAAAATGGAAGAACCATGCTGGAGATGCTATGTGTTGATAAGAGGAAAACCATAAGTAAATTACCTACTTACAATGAGAAAACTGGGTAGTTAAGAAAAGAAATACTACACAAACAAAGATCAAGGATGCCATACTAAGTGAGCTCAAAAGCTTGTAGAATGATGCATAAGATGAAACTTTTGTCTTTGTTATGACTGTATCTTAACAACCAATCATCATCTTCATTATTTAAAAAAATAACTGGTCCAAAATGAAACTTCAAGAACTTTCATCATTTGCTTACCGAATCTCACAAGGAAAAATTGCTCTGAGAGGAAGTATCCTTCAGAAAGATCACAAAAAACAATTGTACACATATTGATAGTGAATCTTTTATTCCTTCATAAAGCATAGAATTAGAAGCCGACAACAATTAAATCACAGAGATAAAATGTCGGTCAATCTTTAAATTTTTTGATTTTGTCAGTTATGGTGGATGTTGAGTGATCAGATAGAATTTTCACTCCATTCCCTTGTCTACATTGACGAATGTCTTGATGTCTCTATATAAAGCTTTTTAGAATTTTTGCGTTTAGGATACTCACCAATCTCTACTTTTCCTTTTGCTTTGTATCTAGTATCCATTGTACCACTTGAAGAGGAAGTAGAGTCAGTTGAGTTAGAGTTGATTGATGAATATGAAGCATGCACATTCAGTGTTGTGGTTAGTCCAGGGTGAAGGGAATGAGTTGCCTCGAATTCATGTTTATTAAGCAAATAATTATCGAGTAGGAAGTGCGGCTTGTGATATTGGACTTTGAGATGATATATGAGAACTTGAGAAGGATTTCTATGAGTAGAGTTTGAATTTTGAGCTTCATCACATACATGAACTAGTGGAGCTTCAAGTATAGTCACATGTATGACAGATGAAGCAAGAAAAAGACAATGAGTACTGAGGTGATTAATACGACCATAGTTAATGCAAATCCTTCTAAGCCTTTCATATTCAAAACCAATCATCGCTCTCTGACCAGTTTCAAATCTTACTCTTCTAAAGAAACGTAAAATTGAGGGTTGTGATTCCAATTCTGATTTTAACCCGAATATAAGCATTAAAACAACGAATTATGTATCATACATTTAAATTTTAACATCATAACATTGAGGGTTATATCATTAAAACAATGAAATATGTTATATATATATATATATATATCAATATATGTCTTTTACATTTGAGTTTTTCATGTATTTTTAGTATAATTTGTGTTATTCTTAGTGTTATACTTAAAAATATTCTCAAAACAATTTCAATAGATTGATAAGTGATAACCATTTGACAAGAATTGTAACTAAGTTTCATGAATGTTTTTTTTTGTGAATATATGAGTTGTATATGATATTCTTGTTATTGTCTATATTTTCACTTTACAAGTGTAAATGAGTTTAGTGATGTTAAAAAGGGAAAAAAAAATTGTCAGGTACACAAAGTTTAGGAGAATGCATAGTCATATACATAGCCGATCCTAAGCACATGATGATGTAGCATGTATATATATATATATAATCGGCTATCAAATTGCATGAATGTCTCGTTAGTCTGGTGGTAAAATCCTACAAAAAGTGATTTGAAAGTACTAAGTTCGATCCATTTCACCTTCATTTTTTTATCTTTTTTTTACTCAAAAAAACAGTTTTTTAGTCTTTTTGGTAGTGTATGACCCTCAAAATCTGTAGGTCAGCTCTGATAACACATGCCATGTCAACGCCGAAATTTATCGATCGGTGTATCGAAATTGTATGTCTATGATGTTAACCACGTGACGCTGCATAGTTTATATATATAATTATATAATACATTTATTTTGTATAACCGAAGATATAATAGTATAGTTGGCATGTATAACTATGCATTCTCCTATGTGTAATTGTCAATCTTTTTTCCTTAAAAGAATGTGAAGACCTTAACGGCGGCAAGGGTTGTGGCTTTGTTGAGGTGGCTGGATAGGTTTGCTCTTCTCCTTAACGGCGGGTTTATCTTCTCAGATCGGGATTCACGGTGGTGCACCGCCTCAGCTTTCCTTGATCTGTTTTAGTCGGTTCATGGTGGTCGCGTTTTCAGGCTGCTCGGGTCGTGGTGGAGCTCGAAGGATGGTTGGCGGCGCAGGCTGAGGCTGATTCTCTGTGGTGGTTGCCCAGTGGCAATGCTAGGACGAATTTTCATTGGGGTCAAAATTATACAAAACAAAAAAACACTGAAATGTATCTCGTAAGCGACTTAAAAAAAATAATTATAAGTCCAAATTTTAAAAAGTTTACATGGCATTAGTTAGTATTATGTATTTGGGTTTAATCTAAAGGATCAAATCTTTTTGTAACTAGAAAACTGTAGGTTTTCTGTCTTTTTTCAAGTAAAACATGAGTTGAAATCAAATTTATAGGGGGTCAATTTTAAATTTTCAGTGGGGTCAATGTTACAATTTCTTAAAAAACATAAAGGATAATTAAATTTTGTTGGGGTCAGTTGACCCCCCTCCACTACACTTGCCTCCGCCACTGTGATTGCCGACGTGGTCCTCCCCTTCGTGTCTCAATTTGGGGTCATGGCTCCAAGTGTGGGTCGTCGGTGCTGCAGTTCGAATTGGAGTGTGGCGGCTTGGTTCTTCTCCGGTGTGGCAATGGATTTTATGTTCATTCTGAGAAGTTCTCTCCTCGGTTTGTGGTCCTTCAATGCTTTGTGCATTGGCTGGATTGGGTTTTTGGATGTTGTTTTGTGTTCTTTGTTGTGATGCAGCTTGGTGAAGATAGCGAGAAGCTTGGTAAGGGTTTTGAGGTTGAATAGAGGCGGCGGTTTGGTCTAGATGGTGTTCTCAAGCCCGTGGGAGCTGTTTCTTGATGCGTCATGCTCGGGATTGGTGGCCAGAGGCGGCTTCTCTGGCTGCCCGTTGGTGCTCCCGTGCCGCCGGGTTTGTTTATATCCTCTCTAGCGGTTCCGTTTTTGTGTTAGTTCTCGGAGAAGCTGTAAGCGTCCCTTCGTTCTGAGGTTTGAGGACTGCTTCAGATAGGGTCTGCTCGTGGCAACAAGGATGAGAGCTCGAATTCTTTTGAACTGAGGCAATTACGCAAATTTCCAAACTTCGCGGTTTGGAATCGATGTTTCTTCCTTGAGCTTTCGCTGGTGGTTTTCGCTTGTTTTTCCTTGTTGTGTTTTGTTGTCTTAATTTTTAGTTGTAGTTTTCGGTCTGTCTGTCTTTCTCGTTTACTCTGTAATTTCTGTAACAAATCTAAAATTGGTATAAAATTTCACTTTTTACCAAAAAAAAAAAAGAAAAAAAAAAAAGTATGTCAAGACACTAGAATATGCATCGTGTAAAACTCCAATGAATTCAACGGCAAAGACTTTAACGGACAGCGGTCTTACAAAAATTAACGAAATGCACCCTGAATATTTAAACTACAGCAATTTAGTACCTTAACTTTTGTTTTTTAGTTTAAAAGTCATCACATCCTAAAAGTGGTGTCGAAAGTTCGCAATATTCGCAGACAAAGCAAATCGGATCCAAATCGATGATTCCGGCGAGGAGGTTTCTATTATCTCCGTTTGTCGGCGTCACGTTGATCGCCGTTCTTGTCTCCTTCTACTTCAGATCTTCCCTCAAGCCTCCACAGCACCAAGTACTCACTTAGTCACTTCTCTTCTTTCTAACAACCTTCCCTGTTCTGAAAATTTCAAACAGACACGAACTTAGCTGGAATTCAACATCTCTTTTGTTTCGTAGTCTCAAATGAAGTCTTTAGCTTCTGTTACTTTTTGATTGAGACAAGGTCTTCAAAAACCAATGAAGTTTGTCTGTGTTTGTTATGTATGTGTCTGAGTTTAATTAGAATTGAAATAGAGAACCAATAATATGATGATGTCTCATGTCTTGGATTTGATGGTTTGTTTGTGTTTCTGTTGTTGTTTTCAATATCAAAAGAGGTTGTTCTCTGTTGAAGAATTGGCTTTGTACAATGGCACTGATGCAACATTACCTATACTCTTAGGGATTCTTGGGTAAGTTCTTTTTTCTTCCTTCTGCTGTCAAGTAACACATGTATGTTACATCATAAACAAATTGTAAACGAGTATACAGATCTGTGTTTGATGTGACGAAAGGAAAATCTCATTACGGTAGTGGAGGAGGTTACAACCATTTTGCTGGAAGGTCTGTTTTGTTTGATCAATTATGTGGAGAGATTCTCACATGTTCTTCTATATCTTTGTATTACTTGCATGTTTCTCGCTGATGGGAAGTTTTTCCATGTAATTCTTTCGCTCAGAGACGCTTCTCGTGCATTTGTTTCTGGGAACTTTACAGGTACGAATTGTTTGCTGCATTCTTCAGTTTAAATTTTCTAGGAAATAATTACCATGCCTGTTTGATACAAAGAATTTGTGGAAATTTTGTAGTATAGGTCTTTGCTTCTATTGGTACTTATGGACATTGACATGATATCCCCGAGAAAAATCAGATTTCATTCTCTTCTCTTTCTAGTGTTATGCGGAAATTTTCCGGGTCCTCATAAACCATATTAGTCATGCATAAATAAGTCAGAATCATCCAAACTTTGTTAGCTATTTGCAGAAGATTATACAGCAGGTCCCTGAAATCTGTGGAAACTTCTCATCTGTGTGTTATGATTATTTTCTTGTGCAGGAGATGGACTTACAGATTCGTTACATGGGTTATCTAGCAGTGAGGTAATACTTTTTTTAGCTCCAAATAATTTATCAACGAAATTATGGAAACGTCTAAAATAGTCTTTTATGTGCTTATATCTTCATAACTATTACTTTCTAAGGTATTGAAGTAACACATAGTTTGTTAACTGTTTGATATTCTATAAATCCGATTATGTTTAGTTACATGTTTGATAAGGCGTGACAAATATTTCTTGTCCGCAGGTGAAGAGCATTGTTGACTGGCGAGGTTTCTACTCCAGGACCTACACGTAAGTTCTTACTTATATATTTCATTCACACAATAGAAAGCTGATGCATAGTAAAACTGAGAAGGTGGTGTATGGATAATGCTTAGCTCACCTTAATCCCTATATAATAAGGTCATCTTGGTTTCGTTCTCAGCTTTTAATTTGTGATCGACAGTCCTGTTGGGAAGCTTGTTGGGCGGTTCTACGATAGCCAAGGGAATCCAACTAAACACCTGAAAGGAGCTGAAGCAAAAGCCTCCAGAGGTGCACAACTCATGGAGAAACAGAAGACTGAGGAAGCCAAGCAACCGAGTTGCAACTCACGATGGAGTCAAGATGAAGGTGGAGAGGTATGAACTCTTGTTATCTTCTCTCAATCCGGAGTAAAGGGGAGAACTATAACATATAAAATGAATACTTGATGGGACTGAAAGCATAAGGATACTAAAGGATAAGCTACTTATGCAGGTTTGGTGTGATGTTGGAGTACCAAGACTGGTACAGAGACCTTTGGAGATTGCAATAACAGGTTCGATGAGCAAACGTTGCGCTTGCTTTGAGGAAAACCAACTTGATCAGTCTGGCTTGGAGATTTATAAAGACTGTGAGCCTCATGCCAAGACTTGCAGGGTTTGAATATGATTCACGAGACTCGTTTTAACAACTTTGCGATAGCTAGTTCCTTCTTTGAGCCATGTACTCTTTGTATAATATAGCACAGAATTCTTTTTTTGTATGGACGCATTGCGTGTAGTTTATGTGTACATTAAACGGCAAATAGTTCTAAATACTACTTTTCTTTGGTTACACACCTGGCCGTTTTTCTTTTGCGTCGACGATTGCTTGTACATTATGTGTAATTTTGCTAAACGACAAATAGTCTACGTGTATTTTGGTTACACACCTTGCCGTTTTGCTTTTGCGTCGATAGATTGCGTGTCGTGTGATAAGGAACACTGGGCGCTTCTTTGTTGAAAATTTTGGCGCTAGCTTCTTCAGGGTTACTAAATTTTGAAATCGAATTTCTTCCGCAAATTTATTAATCGGAGAATCGATAGGCGAAATTGAGAGTAAATCACCGGAAAAAATGGTGTTTCTCTCTCGCAAAAAACCTCCACCGCCACAGCCTCCGTCGTCGTGCTCAGCTGCTCCGTCTCTCAAAATTCCTCAGCCGCAAAAGGAATCCGTTGAACCCGACGCGGTGGAGAAGATGACTGCGATTCTAGCGGAAGTCGGATGCACACTGATGAATCCGTACGGTCCGCCATGCCTTCCTTCCGATTTACACTCTTTCCGCCGCAATCTCACTACTCGCTTATCGTCTTGCTCCGCCAATTCCGGCGAGAGAGATAACGTCGGTGCTCTTCGCTCAGTTTTCGTAGCTGGATTTTCATCGTACATTCAATCTCCGAGTAATCTTCGTAGGTCAGTAAATTCCAACTCGAGTTTTCCAAATTAAAACTGAGATTCACCAATTCGTAATCAGCTTTGTTCATATATCGTTGTAGAGTGCTTTCTTCTTCTTCAACAACTAAGAGAGACGAGAGTTTAGTTCGAAATCTCCTGCTTGTATCTCCGATCCAACTTGATATTCAGGAAATGCTACTCGAGAAGCTTCCGGAGTACTTTGACGTTGTTACAGGATGTTCTTTGGAGGAGGATGTTGCTCGTCTTATCATCAACCATTTTCGTTGGCTCGACTTCATTGTTAATCCCGATGTGTTCACCGATAAGTTGATGCAAGTTCTATCAATTTGTCCTTTGCACTTAAAGAAGGAAATTATTGGATCGTTACCAGAGATTATTGGGGATCACAACTGTCAAGCTGTGGTTGATTCTTTGGAAAAGATGCTTCAGGAGGATTCTGCTGTTGTTGTTCCAGTGCTTGATTCTTTCTCTAACCTCAATTTAGATGATCAATTGCAAGAACAGGTGAGGTTTTTTTGCTTCATCATTGGTTTAAGGTTCTTTATAATACATGGTACTGATGGAATGCCAATTTTTTTTCTTTCTTAAAGGCGATTACAGTAGCAATATCATGTATTAGAACAATAGACGCAGAGCACATGCCGTATCTACTTAGGTTTTTGCTTCTTGCTGCTACCCCAGCAAATGTTAGAAGAATCATCTCCCAGATACGCGAACAGTTGAAATTCACCGGAATGTCACAACCTTGTGCTTCTCAAAATAAACTCAAAGGAAAAGTACCTGCATATAATGCAGAAGGTTCTATTCTCCATGCTTTAAGATCAAGCCTTCGATTTAAGAATGTAAGTTGGTTTCACTACAGTTGGTCAAGAATGTTTGTCATTTTGGGGCATCACTTTATTTCTGTTTATAGATACTCTGTCAAGAAATCATAAAGGAGCTGAATAGTCTGGAGAAACCTCGGGATTTCAAGGTAATCGATGTATGGCTGCTTATTCTCATGTACATGAACGGGGATCCTATCCGGAAGAGCATCGAGAAGATATTTAAGAAGAAAGTGGTTGATGAATGCATACAAGAAGCCTTGCTTGATCAATGTATAGGTGGTAATAAAGAGTTTGTGCAGGTGATCTTCATGACAATTTTGAGAAGTGTCTGATACATGCAAAATGTGGGAATGTTCTTTTGCAGAATTAACACGACTCACTCATTGTTCTAGGATAATTTTGCGTCATTTGTTTCTTTGGCTGAACACCTCTTGTCATGCAAAGAAGAAAGGGCAAGGAATATTGGCTCTCATATCTATACTCGTCTTTTTGAAGGGTTTTCTGACAATTATTCAAGACAAGAGGTAAGAACATGTTAGCATTTCGTCTCTTAGTATAATAACTTTTGCATAACTAGTTCACTTTTGTTCTAATTCGAATTGGTTGCAGATTCTAGGTGCCCTAGTGACACATGTGGGATCTGATAACAAATTTGAGGTCAGTTCTGTCTTGGAGATGATGACAGCTCTGGTGAAAAAATATGCACTGCAACTCCTTCCCTTTTCTTCCCACATAAATGGTATCTCTGGAACTTTTTTGCATATACTCACTAATGCTGATCGATTTGCTTTTCTTCTTCTAATATTCTGATTGTTTTGTGTTGTATAGGTATATTGGACTACTTAGAGGGATTTACAATTGAAAATTTGCATAAGGTGGGCATTTATCTTTACAATCTGCTTGATATGACAATATAGTGTATATAATGTAGACATAATCGCAGGTCTATGAGGTTTTCAGTCTCCTCGCACTATCAGCTCGTGCAAGTGGCGATTCTTTTCGATCTTCAATTTCAAATGAACTTATGATGATAGTAAGGAAGCAGGTAATATGAATTATTTTGCCTTCTATTTTATTTGGTTTCTTAAGGGATGGTAGCTCACTCCCAGTTGTTTGGTTTTTTATTGGCAGGTTAGTCATCCAGACCTCAAGTACAAAAAGATGGGCTTAGTTGGAAGTCTTACGATTGTTTCGTCACTTGGGGATGCAAAGAGTGTTCCTGACTTTTCATCATCGCAGGTAACATCCAGCTATCCATATTAGTTGACTAAAATTATCTTTGTACCTCAAATTCATTTCCCAAGAGGAATTTTCTTATGTCCATTGAATTTTTCATTTAGCAGGTTTCAGATTGTGGGGAGATTTTGGAGCTCTTAAAGACATCTGTTGACTCTTGCAGACAGTCTAACTTAGCCCTAATTATGTTCTATGATGAATTTGCTACCATTCTTAGCCAAAAATTACTTCAACCAGAAATTATGGAGTGGTGAAGATTTCAGTAACATTTTTCTGCTGGCTTGTTTAGTAGTTTTCAAGGCTACACAGTAATCTTAAGCTTCATCCAGAGTAAGTTTTATACTGCTTTTCAGGATTGGGAAGCATCTGGGAGAATTTGAGTCGCTATTTCTAGCCGATCTTGAAAACGGAAAAATGTCTGATAAGGGTTCATATTCTGGACTAGAAGGTACAAATATAGTAATATACTAACCTTGGTTCTACTTAAATTAATTAAATCTCTTCTGAGCATTGCATGGATTTGATCTTCATTTCTTTTCTTCTCATCGCTTAGGGGATCTTTGGATGAACTTGGATGGTAGTATATCACCAATCTGTTTGAATATTTTGGCCCTGGCATCTTCATCCTCAGAGTTGGTTTTATGAGATTATCCCTGGTTTCAGTTACCGTTGAAGATTTCTCTCTGACAACTGTTGACTGAATTAAGAATCAAATTTCCCGCAGGTCCTGTTGTCTGCAGATTCTTCCTTCAAATTTTCTTTTGCTATCAACTGTAAGTTTTTCTTTCACTTGCAACTGGGAGGCTATTTCAAGATATCATAACGAACCTGAATGTGTTTTTGTTTACATTCAGGTTGAGAGGTTGACAAATGATGGATCCCTTGCGGGGATTGATGCTCTGCTCGGATGCCCTTTGCACCTTCCTTCTTCAAAAGTGAGGGACTAAATTTTCGTCAAGAAACATATTGCTATGTTTCCAGTAAATGACAAGTTTAAATCTGCTCTCCAATCTCTGCACGATTGCGGAACAAATTGTTTGGCATATTTTGGAAAAGTTGAAACTCTAAACATGAACCCTTTTAAGAAAGACATTTTCCAAATTTATATCTGTTTATACTGTCACTGTTTGCTGGTGTTTGAATTTTCCTGTCCTATGTTTAAGTACTTTGCTGCAGCTAGTTGGCAGTCTCTGGCAAAGAAGCAGAAAGAAATCCTCTCTCTCTCTTTATATTATGCTGCAAACTGGATACGAGAACTCGTGAGTAACATGACCTTGTATATCTGCAATATTGTTTTACTATAATTCCTTTTATATATGTTTTTGTTTTCTGTTGCAGCTGAACGCCTTTAGTTCCCAAATTGATGAAAAAATTGGCTGCATTAGTCAGGCTACAGAAAAGGATGTTACAACAAAGCTTCTAAAGCGACTCAGAAATTTAGTGTATGTTCATTCTACATTAAAACCATCTAAGCTTCCTAATGTGCTGCTGTGTTTTACGCTCTTGTTTTAGATGTTTTTGGTCGTCATAAAGCCTATTCTTGATGAAATTCTGATGAAAATAATACTTGGTAAAACAGATTCCTGGAAAGCTTATTGAGCAATTTGATTACACTATCTCCTCAGTCTCTACCAGAGCTCCACCCTTATTCTGAATCTCATGTAGAAAATCCGGGGAAGAAGAACGAGAAGAGGAAGCTAGACGATGATGCCTCCCAACGCAAGGGAAGCATGAAAAATAACTTGAAAAAATCGAAGCACTCAAATGTGAATGAAAAGCTGCGACAGCCAACTATTATGGACGCATTCAAGAAAGCAGGAGCAGCGATGAGTCAAAGTCAAACACAGCTACGTGGAACCCCTTCCCTCCCATCTTTGGATGGCAGCACAGCAGCAGGGTCAATGGACGAAAATTGTTCTGATAATGAATCTCTAACTGTGAAGATTCCTCAAGTTTCCTCGGCACTCGAAGCTCAAAGATTCAAGTTCAGGCCTCTTCTTCCTCAATGCCTTTCCATCTTAAATTTTCCAAAGGTCGGCCTAGTCAAACCTCTTTATCTGGTTGAATATTAGTATCTACTAGTCTTTTGAATGATGGTCATAGATACTCTGTATAAAAATCCCATGAATTCACATTGAATTTTAGCCTGAGTTTTATTACATTATTCTTGGAAATGCCATCAAAGGCAGCACTACCTGTCTAACATAGCTTATATGTCATCACAAAGCTTATAGGACT